GGGGGGGGGGGGGGGGGGGGGGGGGGGGGGGGGCGGGGGGGGGGGGGGGGGGGGGGGGGGGGGGGGACGCATGATGTGCATGATGTGACTCGAGAGCGTCGCCTTCAGCGTTAGCAGCGGGGAGGCTTTGTGATCACATGGGAGAGACCGGTTAGTTCATTGATTAATTGTCTTTTTTTTTTTTAAAGGAGGATCCGACGGTGGAACCTTAAGTGGCATCGCGCCTTGTTTTAGCGTAAAAGTGCAATTGTGCGTGCCGAATCCGGAGCGAGCCTGGGAATGGCACATGGCAATGGCTGGAAATGGCACGAGTCGCGCCATTCTCTTCGGCCATGCTTTTGGCGACGAGGAAGGACTTTTCCTCTAAATCGTTTGTCAATTCGGGTTCGTTTTTCCGTCCGTTGTCCCCGGTGGCGAGAAGGTGGAGAAGGTGGAGATGCCTCGGGACTCGGAGAGTTGCGCAGGGTCAGGTTCGCAGTAGAGTGCGAACTCCCGGTCGGCGAAGAAAGGGAGGAGAGGATGGGAAGGGGATGCCGTGTGAGCGGAATCCGGTGTCAGATTGTGCGTGTTGTGTGGCTTTTGTTGGTCGTGAGGTCTGAAAGGTTTGTGGGGTGGAGACCGGTCTGATGGGTGGGGTTGACGACGTTGGTTGGTGGGTGGGGATCTCTTAGGGGGAATTGCTTCACGGGGGCAACAAGGACTGGGGACGTGAGGCTGGGGGGCAAAGATGTGATTGATTGGCAATTTTTGGGGAAGCAGAACTCAGTTCTGCTCAGTTTTAATAGGGGGTGTGGGTGTGGGCTCAAGCCATGATTTGGAAAAGCGAGCTCGGCACCGTGCAGGCCGAATCGTGTACGTTGTGGGCAGAATCCACGTATTCTCGGTAACGGATTTCCCAAGACGGTGAGGAATCGGCTACTTGAAGCGATCGATCAATTTTTTTTTAACTTTTCCTTTGAGTTAAGGTAATCCGGTTCGGCTTCGTTCGGGCCAGACGGCAGGAAGCGATTCCGAATGCGATCGGGTGAGCCCTAGGGTGTTGCCGGAAGTGTTGCCAGAAGTGTTGCCCCATCTCGGTCGTGTGTGTTCCTGCAGAACTCTGTCGGATTCCCCCACCGGATCCGAAACTCTGTCAGATTCTCCCACCAGATCTGAAACTCTGTGGTTCGAATCCCAGAATCGGGATGTCGGAAAAAGGTAGCGAAAAGGCCAGGGCCGCCGTCGGTTGGGTGTGCGCACCCATCGCCGTGGAGTCGCAGCCCCTCATTTTCCGGCCTCCACAATCGTGGGTGAGTTTCCAGAGCGTCACGCTTGCAAAGGCGGGTGTCGTGGGGCTCCGCGGTCCTTCTGGGTCCCTGCGGTCCTTCGAGACCGAACGAAAGGCTCGACTCGAAGCACGGCTTCCACGCATGACATGGGGTTTGTAGGTAGAATTGCCGGCCGGGGTGTCTCGAGAGGGGTTTCGGCTTTGCAAGAGCATGATCCGACTTGCCGGACTTCCAGTTGTTTTCGTTGATGGGAGGAAGTGGTATTTCATTCAAATATTAAGTGGGTGGGGGAGAGTGTTTGGGTATCAGAAAGAAATGTTGCTGGTATCAGAAAAGCATATTTCCACTTCTTTTTAGTGGTCATGATCTCTGAGAAGAAATGGGAAATCATCCTGTATTAATTGGTTGGATCTTCATGAAGCCTTGCACTAAAAAATAAATGTCTTGTAAAAACAATAATGAAGAAGTAAAAAACTGTTATTCTGGTACATCTAGTTGAAGAGCAAAAGCTAATGTAATTCTAACATGGGGGAAATTGCTGAGGTGACGGTGGTACATTTTTCGGTTGGATTATTTCCCAAATTAGAGTTTCCCCAAGTTGGGGTATTTCATGGTTGCCTAGTGGAGACTGAGAAAAGCGACAGAGACGGACATCTCGGGTCTCACGGGGAATGGGTGCTTCTTGCATCGTCGCCGGGTCGCTTGCGGGGTGGAACGGGGGCAGGTCCGTGTGGTTTCGGGGCTTGGGATCTTTCGAGTGCGTCCTTGTTGGTCCCATTTTTGTGCAGTGAAGGAAACCTTTTTTTTTTACCAATTGCAAGGATCATGTCTTCAGCTGGTCATTGTTATCCCATCCCCTTGGTTTTTTTTATAGTTTGATAAGCTTTGATTTGGGTCTATAGTGGGGTGTCAAGTTAATGGACTTGCTGCTCATGGTGTCATTTGAGCTAGGAAAAAGACGAGAGCAAGCAGATTAAAACAGTGAGACTCTGATGATACTGCCCATAGGCCTAGCGAAGTAGCTGAGAAATAACTAAAAAATGGCAGATGAGTTCACAAGTTTGGAGGGAAGGTTGTCGTGACAATCCTGTAGGCCTATCACCCCCAAGTCAGGTTGGTATCAAGAATGCAGTATGTGTTTTTTTTTAATATAAACCCCCACCCCATTTCCTGATGGTGTAATGGCTTCCTGACAATAAGCCATTACCCTGTTCATAAAACAAGGTTAAGGGTGAACCTAGAATGACAACCATACTTTAGGGTTTGATTTAGTCTTGCTAGGTCCAGGGGCTACATTTGTATGAATCGAGTAGCTCCACTAGCCTAGAAGCAAGAGTTGTTTCATATGAGATAGCCTGCAAGGAGTGGAATAATTTGGGAGATTGTGTGGGGAAACACAGAACGAGTTTAAAACACCATGATCATTTATTGATACTTTTCACAGGTTTGTAGATGTGATTAAGTCTGTTTTTGCCTGCTTGAGATGCTCGAGTTCAAGTTTGCATTTTGCCTAAATGCTTTCACCGATTCGGAAACGAGAAAACAGTTGACACGAGGTAGTGATCAAAAGACTGGAGGAAAAGAAGCTCTCCAGACTGATTTTTGCCATTATAACTGTAGTTATAATAGCAAAAATCTAAGTGCAAACCTACTAAAGTGATGGCAGGTTCAAATTTGTACTGCATATACCATTTTTTGTTATCTCTGCTTACTTGATATGGCAGCTCACACCTGGACTGCAGTAATAGTACTTGATGAGGCATTGCCATTTTCAAGTTTATTTTCAGCCTACCATTTTTGGCATGTGGAGCTGTCATATCTGGTGTGCATTTATTTTAATATGGAAGGAATTGGTTTTAGCATACTAATGGGGCAAGACATAGATAGTCCAGGCTCAGAAAGGACTAGATAGTATCAACATCTGATTTTATTCCATTTCATAACTGCTGTCAATTCCTTGTGTTCTTGACAGAAAAGGTCCTTTTTTTGGGGGAGCTCGAAGGAGTGAAACCAGAAGTAAATGTGGTGAGTGGGTTTTTTAAGCCTGTTTTTCTTAAGTTGTTGTTTCTGGGCCTGGAAAGACTTCACATAGAATCAAAATATGAAATGGAATATTTAAATATTAAAGCCATTGAACTTTTAAAAATGTTCTCTCTATTGCCTAGGTTCCCAGTTTCCCGTGAAAGCTGCCACTGCATATGTGGCTCGTGATTAGACACTGTTCTCGTCTGGTTTTGTCACCTAGTTGTCATGCTTGCCTGATTTGAGAGACCTCTAGGTGTCAAACCTGTATCCCTATAGGCCTAGAGATGTTTTGGTTTTTCAGCCCTATGACCGTGTGCCTCTCTTGTTCTGTCCTATTTCATGCTTTCAGCTGAAAATCTGCAACTAACTCGTTTGCCCCTGGTAACAATTTGACTTCAACTCTAAGGCCTTTTCAACCCTGCTTTCTCATCCTCCATCCCCAGCCATCAGCACAGCCGTATTCCACTAACCGTCTTCTAGTTCTCTGCATCTCCTCTTTTGCATCATACAGGGAGGAATGTCGTCCGCAGACCTGCCCAACGAGAAGCAGCAGGAGTTGCTGTTGTCATGGCGACAACTCCACCTGAGCAAGGCCAAGTTGAAGGCTTCCAATCGTACGTCTGCACTTCTTGCCGGGTTTGCCATGGTGAGTTTGTTGACAAAAGTGCTGCAATTTTCCAGGCCATCAGGCCTGTTATTTCAGAAGTGGCTAAGTAAGGCATGCAGGCATCAACATGTTATCCCAATAATAGATAAAGCCTGTCCTTGAAGGAAATATAGGAGAGTTGCTCATAGAACCTTAATAAAATCCTCATTGAATTTTTGTTTCCTTTTGTATTCCTTTCCCAAGTCAAGGATTCTCTGTATTTTGGTGAGGTGAATGTCATTATATTTTTAAGACATTTTAATCCAGGAATAGCTGCAAAGTATGAGATTCAGGAAGGATTATCATATCCAGATACTCATGTTTCTTCTCTTCAGGTGGCCATGGTTGAAGTGAACCTGACAAAAGACATTCCCAATGGGCTTCTGGTGGGCTTTGCCGTGTGCACGACCCTCTTGGTTGCCGTACACATGCTGGCACTCATGATCAGCACGTGCATCTTACCCAACGTCGAGGCCATCGGAAACATGAACACCCTCGGTGCCGTCAGCGAGTCCCCGCACCGAAAGCTGCACTGGTACATCGAGACGGCATGGGCGTTCTCCACCGTCCTCGGGATCCTCCTCTTCCTCTGCGAGATCGGGATCCTCTCGTGGGTCGTCTTCTATAACTTCTCTCACACGGCCGCATGGGTCACCAGCATCCTCCTCATCCCCATCCTTGCCGTTTTTGTCATGTTCACCCTCCACTTCTACCGGCAGCTGGTCGCCCACAAGTATGAGAACACCGAATCGGTGATTCGAGAACTCGAAGATCTCCACAGTCAGCTGGAGGCTCATACCATGATGAAGAGCAGTAGCAGTGGGACCATCCATACTGCTGTCAACATTGTTTGAGGTTGTGCATCTGAATTTATAGACCAGACTTATATATGAAATGGCTGCTTCTTGTTTCATTTCTTTCTCTTTAGCAAGACATGTCTCTGAATTTTTAATATTTTATTACCTATTTTTCACATGAGTTTTTCTAGGGATGATCCCAAGTGACATTGTGACTGTCTTCAAAGAGCACCTATGCATTTTTTGGTCTTTTGGCTTGTTCCCATCCTCCAAGTGATAAAATGCAAAGTATTGGAAATATTTATGGCCATTTGAGAGATTCTTGGATGGGAATGTGTCCTGGAATCTGGTCTCATGTCCTTGAAATACAACCTGTGATATGTGCTTCCAGATTATGTTTCTGTCTGGGTTTGGGGGTGGCAGTTCAGTGGGGGGGTGATAATTGTTCCCCCTACTTTCCTTGGTATTGGGGCAAAGGGTACCTATTGCTCCTCCATATTTCTCCAATTTTATGTGAATGTCTGAATTAAGGATCAAGTTCTGGCATGCACAGTCATGGAATATCCCTACCCTGCTCTGGAGTTTCCAGAACTACTTACCACTTGACTTTCAAGAAAGTTCCTCAATGCCTTCTGCCTCTTGTCAGACTTGCAACTTCGATATAACTGTCATAAGCAATGTCTGAGAAAAAATTACTCTTGTAGGTCTCTTGCTTGTTAATGTATCTTTAAAAATCCATTGATACTCTGAGTGCTGGTTATCAGAATTCTCCTGATGATGTATTTGTTTCTGGTAAAACTCTTGTGGATCCCATGTCAAAACTCCAAAGGAGATCTGGAAGTTTGTCTCCCCTATACACGCGTACAGAGCGAACTCGTTAAAATCACCTATGTACTCTCAGGTGGAATGGCCTTTGCCTTCGTTTCAGACACATGGACTGTCATATTACTGCATGCCTCAGCATGTCGCCTATTCGAAGTGCCACCCGATTCATCCCATCTCCGGGAACTTTCGTTTGGCCCGGCCTGTTGCCTTCACGACCGTTCCGTTCGGAACGGTCCATCTATCTCATCCGTTCATCTATCTCGGGGACGTGAGTGAGTTGGGCATTAGCCCCGTTTCTGCAATCCTTTGCCTATTTCTCTGCCGGTGTAACGGTTACGAATTACTGATTATTTGGTGATTGCCTGAAAAGACTTCACGACCCTTCCCACGAGCGAGGGAAAATATTCGAAATTGAATGCCGTCGGCTAGGGTGAGGATTTACCGCTTCCCCTGCATTTCCCTATCGTACCTCACCTTCAAGGTTGTCGGCTTTTCCTTTCCGGAATTCTCATCCGAAACTTCAAAAGTGACACCGAATCCGTGACGATTTTGTGGGCCACTTCAGCAGATGTTAGTTGTACATTTAAGCCGATTTCATGTTGGGACAGAAGAAGTCTTCGTCTTTTCAAGAAGCCTCCAAACTTGTTCAGAGCGTATTTTGAATAGAAAGCGCGTTTCATCCCCCCCCCCCCCACATTCACCCACAAATACAGCTATCTCCGGCGTGAATCGTCGTTGGCATTCTTCTCGAAGCTTTTCTCTATTGATTTGTCCCATTGCCAACCTATATGCTCAGATTAGCGTTCCGCTGCGGTCAGAAGTAATTTCTTATTCGAGAGAAACATCCCCAATATCGAGGGGAATCCGTAGAACTTTTTCAATACATCGGGAAATATATTTAAACAAAAAAAGAGGAAACGTTACTCCGATCATTCCGGTCGGACGAACTCGAAACCATGCTTGGAATTACAACGAACAAAATTCGAATTGGGAGGTGACACCGAGGAATTCCTGAAGTTCAGATTCCGCGCCCAAAGGATACAAGATGAGATCAGGAAAACCCTAGAGAGTTCCACGATCTGCAATGGATCCGGATCAGCAGTCGATGGTCATGTCGGCGGCATGCAAGGTGATGGTCATGTCGGCGGCATGCAAGGTGATGTTAGTCGCAGCCTCCCGGCGATCCACGTCGATGACGACTCGTCCCTGCACGGGGAAGCCCAGGGCCTCGTCGAAGGCGAGACGGAGGAGGTCATGAAGGGTTGGGATGACATTTCGTGTGGTAAGGATGGGAGAGGTTCCCCCGATCGTCGTATATCGATTAGACAGGTCGATCCCTTCGTGTGTTTGGACCAATAGTCGTTCTGTATACTCACTGGCCATCACTAGCCCTTAGCTAATAGCGTGTTGGGCCACCATGTGCTGCAACGGCAACTTCAACATCTAAATGCACGTCTGTAACAGTGCGATGTCACGTGATCAACCTATTCCGCATCTCCTGCAGGCTTGGAGAATGCAATTAATACTTCGCATAGGGGGTTCCATAATTTCCGCCGGAGAGGCTCGGCAGACCATCACAAAATGACGGGTTTCGGGCTGCGGAGCACCTCGAAAAGCGGGGAGAAAATTCCTTCCTCTGATGGCCATGACCTTGGTGAGTGAGAAAGCCAAATGAAAAAAAAAAAACAGCTGTTGGACTGGATTTCCCCAGGTTGATGCAACTCCGCCCGTTTGTTCATTTTCCCATGGAGGTTACCGAATGGATGAACTCATTCCTCGATATAAAAAAAAATAAATAAAAATTCACTTTTCACAGTGAAGATAGCAAAAATAACACGTTCCCTTAACAGAATTTTCGAGGGTACGAGAAGAAAGCGACTTATTATGCAATCGGATTTCTAATACACTGAGCGCAAGTGGATAGACGACTAACGACCAGTTGAGAGAAATGCCGCATATTTTGCGATATTTTCATATTGCGTATTTCCCTTCGTGAAAACCCAACGGGGAAGGATAGGACCTGCAGTCTCTCACCGAAATAAGCAATGCCACTAGTGACGCATAATATACACGTGACCGGGCCTCGTGACAGGTGTCCAAATAAAATGCATGTGACGTAACACGGAAAAACCGATGGGCTGCTGTTTTTTCAATCGTAACGAATGGTAAGAAGAAAAAAAGGAATTTAACTCCAATTGTTTAGTCCAAGGAATATGAAAGTATGCTCGGGTTTATGGGAAAGAAAATTCAGAATTCCAAGAAAAACTTACGATGAACAGAAAGGCAACAGGAAGGACTTGAATCGCAACATTTCATTTCGCAAATAAAAAATGCCTCATCAACAGTGAAATGCATTTTAGGAGGGAGAACAGGTATTTACGAAATGTTTGCAGTGAGCCAATCGACGATGGAGTCGAAATGCCGGTCCATCCAGGCGATGTTCCGTTCGACGCCCGCGACGGTGGCAGCGAAGGCACCTGCATCCCCAGGATGTTCGTCGCGGAGCGCTGTCAGAGCTTCGAGTTCCGCGGGTGTGTTGAAGTCCTGGAAAGCCGCGACGAAGGGGCCGATGTCTCCGAAGCGAGCCTTGAAGGCATCCCAGTTGTCGCTGAGGAAGTCGAAGGCGAGCTGGCGGCTCACGATGTTCTCCCCCAGAGTGCGAAAAACCTGAGCCCCGTCCTGCACGCGGATGGGGGACGTCGACGAAAGGATGTCATCCAGCAGCCGAGACAGAAGTGCCTCGTTTGTGCACGATGCGAGAGCCGAAAGCATGGCGCTTACAGAGTGCGAAAAACCTGAGCCCCGTCCTGCACGCGGATGGGGGACGTCGACGAAAGGATGTCATCCAGCAGCCGAGACAGAAGTGCCTCGTTTGTGCACGATGCGAGAGCCGAAAGCATGGCGCTTTTGTCGGATTCCGATCCCGTAAGCTGATAGTGCTCGTATCCAAACTCCCAGTCGCTGTCGTCGCCTCCATAAATTCCGTAAACGAAGATAGTGCTCTTCACATTTGGACTGAGGACGCGTTGATCCGGATCCTGTGGATCGTAGACGGACTTCCATAGCTGGAAGAGTTCCGCCGCTTGTTGAATGCATGCCGTACTTTCCATCCCGCAAGAGAGACTCTGGATCGTGTTGGCATAGTACCACTCCATGATGTCCTCGTAGAATCCCGTGAACTCCTCCAGCGTCTCGAACGGCGTTCCGGCGAATCTCGGTTCCAAGAGACTCAGTAAATACGTCTGGATCAAAGCATATCGTTCGGTCGAAACGAACATGCGTATCGGATAATCGAGATGTGTTGCGGCAATCGCCCAAGGGGAATACTCCGGCTCGCTTCTCAGGAATCGGGTGAGAGACAGAGGAACGTCGTAGGATGCCAAGTGTCCCGACGCGACGAAGGTGAATGCGTCGTCGAGGAACTCCGCCCGATTGGGGAAGGGAAATTGATTGAGGTTTCGCTCGAGCTCCGATGCCAGGAGCTGCCAGTTCTGGAGGTCGTAGTTGACTCGGTAAAACCCGTAGAAGCCCCAGTTGAGCGCGAGGAATTCTTGGGGACCTGGCATGGGTTCTGTCGCGAGAGAGCCTTCCGTCTGGGATAGCCAGTAGATTCTTTCCCCTCCATCAAGTGTATTGAATTGGATCGGGACGATCCAGAGCGTGGGGTCGGGGTTGGCATCGGGGTCGCTGAAGAATCTTTCTTGTCGTATGCTGATCTCGCCGGTGTCGTAGTCGCGGATCGCAGTGATCAAGGGGAAACCGGCTTGTCGGGTCCATCCGGTCATGATCTGCGAGATGGTGCGTCCCCCGAGGTCGACTCCCCAGTCCTCGGCCGATGCCTGCAGGTGACGCCACAGGTCCTCCTCGACCGCGTTGCCGAAGCTAGACTCGGCAAGATAGGCCGCAATCCCCTCGTAGAACGGTTGGACGCCGCCCATGAATCCTTCGATCATCTTCAGCAAACCGCTCCCTTTCCCGTACGCGATGTCGAAGAGACTCCAGATCTCGTCGAGGGTGAAGACGTCGGCGACTAGCGGGTGAATAGTCTCCCTCGCGTCCGTCCCGAAGGTTCCCAGCGTGCCCAACACCTGCGAATTCTCCGTTTTCCATCCACGGTTCGGTCCCAACACCCCCAAAGGCGTGCAGTACGTGGCGAAACCCTCGTTGAGCCAAATCATGTCCCACCATTTCATCGTGACAAGGTTCCCGAAGAAATTGTGCGCGAGCTCGTGCGACGTCGTGCTACTGGCGCCGTAGACCCTGGAGAAGTGATCCCGCTGGTTGTCGACGAGAAGAGCTCCTTCCTGGTAAGTGATCAGACCCCAGTTCTCCATCGCTCCGGGCCAAAAGTCTGGTATGCTGATCAGGTCCATCTTGGGCATGGGTTCGTCAGTCGCAAAGATTTCTTCAAAGTAAATCATCGTAAGTGGCCCATAACTGAGCATGAGCTCACCGTCCTCGATGATATCCGGCCTGGCATACAACCCATACGGCGGCAGCCCTTCATAAATCAATCCGCTATACTGCGTGACTGCGAAGCAGACCGTATAGGTCGCCATGGGAACCGAAGTCTCGAACACGTCGAAGAAAGTGCCATCCTCATCCAACAGCGTCTCCTTAAGAGGCATGTTAGCGAGCGACATCCAA